TTTTTCTGTTCAGGAAATAAAATTAATAAATAGACTCATGTGTGGACACACATATGGAAAGATTTTTTTAAGTAAGTTTAAAGCTAACATCACTGATGCCTGTGTATGCTGTGGGGTTAGAGAGACAAATGACCATCTTATTTTTGTATGCCAAAAGTTTTCCGCCGCCAGAAACAATTTCACTATTTTTAGTAAATACAACTGCTTAAAAGAAATTTTCGCCAGTTTTGATTATCGCCATCTCAGGGAGTTGCTTTGCTTTTTGGAGACGGTGAAGCTCGACACGCTTCTTTGAGTATAAAAGGATATAGATATAGGAAAAAACAAAAAATAATAAAAAATTAAAAGTGTATGTATTTATAAAACAGGCATATGTTTGTTTTTTGTTAAGTAATAGTCGTTTTAGGGAAAATGAAGAAAAACAATTTCAACCAGTCAATTATTAAAAAAAAAAAAGAGAAATTTTAACGAAAGCAAGGAAAAAAAAAAAAAGTATGAGACAAATATGTATGCATTTTTGTTCCCAATGCTTTAGAATGTAGTCATATGATTAAATTTTTCTATTCAATCAGATATGGAATTCCGCACTTATGATTGTGCATTTAAAAAATAATAATAATAGTAAAAATAATTATATTAGTAATAAGATTAGAGATTTGTAGGACTGGTTTGGAGTACGGATGTATCTACCTCATTGTAGTTAAATTTTCCATATGTACACGTATTACGAGTTTGTTGTTAATTGTAAAGATGCCTAAATTAGTGTTTTTTCTGCAATCAAGTGCCTTTGATTCTGCTGGTACAACTACATTTTATTAATTATAAGATAGCCGATTCACTTTATTATTTGGCTTAAAAAATGAATTACTTCTGTAGTTTTTGGTGATTTTGTACTCAATAATTTTTTAATTTCCTCATTTATACGAAAATTCATCCTATAACCTGTACTTACATGAGTACCTGATAGGGTACAAACCTTTTATTCTTGTATAAAAGGCAATCAAAAGAAAAAAAAGGCTGATAGAGAATATTGTATTTATTGTATTATAATGTACGTAGTACGATAGGTTAATTTGGTGATCAATCACTTTTGAGTTTGTGCAGTTTGAAGTTTTTGCTTGGTTTAGTCTCAAAGGCTATTT